AGTTTTGAAACCTTCTCGTTGCAATCTTTTATGCTTTAAAGCATACCGCAACTATTTTGTGAACTCACAAAATAATTTTAGCGGTAGTTTGGGCTCATGCTCTCTGTTGCCGTGACGCTAATTAGAGGCTGTCACAGGCCATAAAAGGTTCACAGCTGTGTTGAGAGCGGATTGATGTTCGATGACCTAATTGTCGATAGCGGCAAGATATAACACCAACCCCCTTCTATCTCGGCCGTGCTCCCACGCATTCAAAGGAGTCAGGAGATTTGTTCTCCAGATCAAAGCATCACATTGACAGACTTATGAAAGATAATTGCGGTTGAGGTGGGAATATGACGTAGACATCGCTTGTTTGTTAAGACCAGCAAGACTCGCCTTTATGAAAGTTCAGCTCTGCCTCCATGCAGGGAATATTAAAGGCCCTGGAGGATGGGTGTGACCAGTTGAAAAATGTGTGACCTGAATTACGTTAATCTTAAAACATGATAAGTAATTGAAAACGTCAACTAAATGACAGGCTTCCCTAGACTTTTGGGACTCGGTATTCAAATGCACTAAGCCGTTATCTCCCGGGCAATTGGTGTTTTGGCAGTCCACACAACCTGCGTCTTAAGTAAAAGCCGAAAGGCGTGTTCAGTTTTAGTTCCTTTTTATGCCAAACTATTTAGCATAAGTCGTGTATTCTGAGCGGACGGAAAGCAGAAAGGAATCGTGCCTTCAATAAACGACCAAATAGTACCTTTAATCAGTCCAGATTGCATAGATATATCCTATTTCGTGTGCAACTCCGTCTTGATCAAGCACACTAGCACTCCATTTCTTTCAACCGAAACTCGCCTTCAAAATTGTTTAGAAAATTTAACCGACGGGACTGTTAGAGTTAATGAGGTTCCTCTGAAGATCCAGTTTCATAGTGATAGGAAAAGAAGGGTTCCATTAAAACCACAAATGAGCTCAGTGGTTTGCAAACAGAGCGTAAAGCAGATGAAAATAAGCGCGAGGAAAAAGTATTACCAGAATTTGGGTCTGAAAACCCTTGGAATGGGGTGCAATTACAGTATCTTAATGGATGCGGTAAAACCAGTGAACGCTAGACCTATTACGACGTGATCCCAGAGACAACCAGCCTAAGTTTTGCGATTGTTTCGGGCCTGTGAAAACCCCAATTGCCTTTCTATATCCCTCTCGTGAGTGGGAAGGTTGAATGTAAATTTTTGAAAGGAGGGCAGACTAAAACTGACTACAACGCAAGGACGAATACACCTGCAGCAGGATAGCGAAGTTGGGCACTTACCATATGGAATAGTATTTAATAGTCAGAGGACTGCAAATGTAAAGTTGCTCTAATTACCAGGACGAAGGTAGGTCGTGCTAAAGAAGACTTTCATAGCAACGGCAAATGGGTTCGGTATGAGATCAAGAAGTTGACAAAATTCGGGTCATGAACCTTGCTTATCAATAACGCCACGAATGCGGGAAAACAGATTACGGATTTCAGGGCATGATTTAGCTATGCCAAAGCAGCGCCGAATTTTGAGCAATAACCTTTCAAAAATAATAGGAAGCAGAATGCATGGTTTGTAGGATTGGGCTACTTCGTTTAGGAAAACGGTTGAGTTTTTCCTAAGAATCATAAACATCTTCAAAAAATAAGACCTAAACACCCTTTAGCATAATGTGGATTAGGTTGAAAGTCTAAGACAGAAACATCAGATCTCGTTTCGGGTATAAAAACAGTAGCCCAAAAACAGGATTCGTCCAAATTTGTTCAAAAGTTATGCTGAAAAAGAAGGCCAACTAAGGGCGGAAGGCTAGAAATCCGGTTAGTTAGGAAGTTCTATTTGATTGTTACATAGTGTATGAGCCAAAGGAAAATGCCCAGATCAATCTGTTTTGGGTTGTAAAGCATATATCTGCGGTATTTTAAAACTGAATTCACAAATAATTGGCCAAGTGCACTACGGCAAATCGCCAGGGTAAACGACGGTATACACATGCGTGCCAACTCTGTACGATTTAATCCTGCTCGTTTTGGTCGGAAATCTCCCCAAAAAACCTGGACGCAGAATTAGGCTTAACTGGTCGATCAGAAGTAATATCCAACTATGTTGCCCCATATGCCTCCTTATAAGTTAGTTTTATGCTTGGAGCAATGTGGCTGTTCTCAGGCTTGGAAAAGAGGATTCTGACTGAAAACTCGAAATACATAGGGTTTATGAGCGACTGTAGGGCGTGTGGTATTTATCAAACACTTGCGAATGAATTCAGGCTCGCCTTACGGTTTTTAAAAATACTCAAATATTCGCAACTCCCATTTCGTATTTTTCCCCCTAGGTTCAGAGCTCCTTTTCTAGTGAAATTTTAAACAAACGAAATTCATTTGTAATAGCTCTCCTGCCTTATAAGAGATTTGTATGATTTGAACGGCTTACTTGAATTCACCTAACCCCACTTTCCAGTACATTACTCGAAGTGACCTTCCGTTGTTCGGCCGGTCGTGAGTGCCGATCTGTTACCTGTTCCGGGGTGTAGGGGTGTCCAGTTGTGCGTCCACGATATGGTCGTAGCCGGTCGCTTCACTCGCATGCAGGTGTTGACTACGTCTAGCGTCCATTAACTGAAACCCAACTTTCACATTTGGCTCCTATAAGCTAGGCTCTGCATAGCAGTCACACCCCGGTAACCGCCTCGACTGTCGGACTAAAGGAAACTGGGGAGTATCTGGTGTTGTAGGTGTCCCACACTCAGTAACGCTGTTTCCCTCTCATCCCTATCCCCGCTCCACATCCCGTCGAATCCCCGTTCCTATTTCGCACTCTACTCTCTATTCTCTACCCCCCACAGTCGAAAAATACTACGGTGAGGGCGACATGCAACCACGTAGGCAGCCGAAGTCAGTCGGGTCGCTCTCTCACTAAACCAATCCGTGACCCATGGTGGACTTCGGCAGTCGTCCTGGACGACTTAGCAATCCTGTTCAGAGACGGTACTGCTTTCCCCTCGCCGAGGAGGGGAGTGTAAAAGGTGCCCTAAACAAAGCTGGGTTCGCGACATCTGCGAGCAAACCGTGACTCACAGACTGCTTCATGTACGATCAAATCAAAACACAAGACAAAACACCCTATCTCTCCCTCCTCCTCGCCTCCGCCACATCCCACAGGCTGCTAAGATGAGTCCGTTAACTCTGGCAGTCTGGAATGTTCGTTCCCTTTTAGACTATCCGAGGAGCAACCGATCGGAACGGAGGACGGCGCTAGTCGGTCGGGAAATGGCGAGCTACAAGGTGGACATGACTGCACTCAAAGAAACCCGCTTCTCCGAACAAGGCTAGTTGGAGGAGGTCGGCGGCGGCTACACCTTCTTCTGGAGCGGCCGCCCCAACGCAGAGCGACGGGACGCGGACGTCGCCTTTACCATCCGAAACGACATCGTGGGACGACTGCCCTGTCTGCCGCATGGCATAAACGATCGCCTGATGAGCCCCCGTCTGAGCTCTCCGTCAGGGGAGGCAAATTTACCAACATCATCAGCCTCTACGTTCTCGATGACCAGCTTGATGTGGATTATGTCCTCGTTCGACGGCGGAACCAGATGGACGTGTTGTTGACAAAGATGATCCCGGGTGCCGATGGGTGGACCGACCATCGCCTTGTCCTCTCCAAGATGAGGATCCACCTACTGCCACGCAGGAGACCTCAAGGTAAGCGACCACCCAGGTAAGCTAAACATTGCTCTCCTGTCTTTGCCTTTCTGCCATCTCCATTTCGGCAGCGAATCAGCTCAGCGACTAGCCAACCTTTCAGTCGACGCTGCCGCTGCCGCTGCCGCCGACACGAACGCCCCCGTGGAGAACCGATAGTGCCAACTAAGGGACACAGTGCAAGTATCTGCCCTGGCTGTCCTCGGTGGAGCACGTTGGCAACATGAGGACTGGTTCGATGACGAAGACGTCACCAGCAGCAATCTGACTGCCGAGAAGAACTGCCTGTACAAAACCTACGTCAACCGCCCCACCGGGGACAACACAGCAGCCTTTTACCGTAGTCGCCGCCTATTTCAACAGCGGCTGCGGGAGATGCAGGACGCTTGGAGGGCTCGTGAGGTTAAGGAGATCCAAAGGTACGCGGATCGTAACGAATGGAAAAACGTCTTCGTTGCGATCAAGGTGGTTTACAATCCCACAGCCAAAGAACCCGCTCCTCTTCTCAGAGCCAACGGAGCCACTCTACTCAGTGAAAAAACGCAAATTCTGAAGCGATGGGCCGAGCACTTCAGAGGCGTCATCAACCGTTCCTCCACCATAACTGATGCCGCCATCGTCCGTCTGCCTCAAGTGGAGACAAACGTCGATCTTGACCTCCCCCCTCCCTCCACCAAACCATCAGGACCGATCAGAAACTCTCCAATGGGAAAGCACCGCGATCGGACGCGATATCTGCTGAGATTCACTAGCACGGCTGACCCCAAATTGTGGGACATCCGACGACGCTCATCCAGGCGATGTGGAATCAAGGAGAAGTCCCTCTGGATTTCAAGGACGCCACAATCATCCATCCCCACGAGTGGAAAGGGAACCGCAAACTCTGCGACAGCCACGTAGGAATTTCGCTGTTGAACATCGCTGGGAAGATCTTAGCTCGCATCCTCACTAACCGTCTCAGTAACCAACCGCAACAAGGACTTCTGCAGGAAAGCCAATACAACTTTCGTCGTCATCGCGGAACCGCCGACATGATCTTCGTCACCCTCCAACAACAGGAGAACTGTCGGAAGATGCAGATCCACCTCTATTCTACCTTCGTGGATCTGACGAAAGCCTTCGACACGGGGAATCACGAAGGACTGTGAAAAATCATGCCATAATTCATCTGTCCCGAAGAATTCGTTCAGATAGTGCATCAGCCCTATGACGGCGGAAAAAAGCCGTTTCACGAACATTCGTAGTGATCAGCGGAGTGAGGCAGGGCTGCGCCTTCGCGCCCGTCCTCTTCAGTCCCATGTTCTCTGCCATGCTAGTGGACGTCTACCGTGGCGAAAGCCCCAGGATCTGCGTCACCTACAGGACGGACGGCCAACTCCTCAATCGTCCGCGGATAAAATTCCAGTCTCTTGCATCCACAGCTTCTGTCCATGAACTTCCCTTTGCCGCTGACTGCGCTCTCAATCCAACCACAGAGGGGGCAGTGCAGAGGAGCATTGACTTCTTCGCCGCCGCCTGCAACAACTTCGGCCTCACCACCAACACGGAGAAAACGGTGATTATGCATCAACCGCCACTCAACTCTGCCTACAGTGCACACCACATCAATATAAACGGCGAACAACTTCAAGCCGTGGACACCTTCACCTACCTGGGCAGCATCCTCTCCCGCAGCATAAAAATTGATGATCAAAGGGCAAGCGGGTCTCCAAGTCCGGCCAAGCCTCCGGTCGTCTGAAGAACGCCGTCTGAAATTTTCACGGCCTGTACCTCAGCACCAAACTTAAGATGTTCAAAGCTGTCATCTTGCCGACGCTGCTGTATGGAGCGGGGACCTGGACGGTGTACAAGAATCGGGCGCGAAGACTCGATCACCTCCGCCTCAGCTGTCTTGAACAGATATTAAAGTTAAGGTGGCAGGATCGGATCTGGAGCACGAGCGTACTGGAACGGACGGAAATGCTCAGCATCTACACCACGGTGGGACAATTGTTACTGCGATGAAGCTGCAATCTCGTGAGAGTGGACGATTAGCGACTGCCCAAACGAATAGTCTATGGAGGTGTCGGCACAGGTTCCCACCGGCAAGGAGATCAAGTTCGGCGCAACAGGGAAACTCTAAAGGCTCAATTGAAGCGCCTGCAGATCAACCCGGCTAAGTGGGAAGACTTTGCCCGAGACCGATCGGCTGGAAGAAGGACAGTGAAGACAGGCGTAGCAATCTACAAAGCCAACCGTCTCACTGCCTCCAAAGCCAAACGCGGAGCTCGAAAATCCCAGCTGCCCCGGCCTGTCAACGTCTACACTCAACGGCCACAAACATTCCCGCGATGTCAGCGAGTATTCTGGGCATCCTCGGACCAACTGTAACCCCTCAACGACACTAGCTGATGCCTCCCCGTCCACATCTGTCCCGCCTCCATGTCGATAACCCGCCTTAACTACTCTCTCGATCCCCATCGCCATCCTCCGCCACCATCCCCGCCTCAACATCTGTTACAACGGCTCCTGCCCTTACCACCAACGCAAACAGTCCTGATGTACTGACAGACCTCAATCTCACCACCGCCAACACCAGTGATACGGACCCGGTCCAGACCTGTCCTCATTGCGATCGCACCTGCACATCACACGTCGGCCTGGTCGGCCACTTGCGAATCCATCGCACAAAGACTAGCTTACCAGTGCCTGGAGCACCATCGTACACCCGCGGCATCCGCCTCCACTGTCCACACCGCCCACGTTCATTCATCTTCCGCATGGTCCTACTCGGTCACATGCGTATCCATGACAGCGGAATCCACTACAGTCTCGACATACCTAGCACACCTTACATACCCACCCTGACTAGCCCAACCAACACCTCACTACTCAGCGCGGTCACCACCACCACTGTCACCGACTCTGACGCCCCCGACCTACCCTGCCCACAATGTCCCCGTTCATTCACCTCACACATCGGCCTGACCGGTTACTTGCGGATCCATCGCACAGAGACTGGCCTGGAGCACCAACTTACACTCGCCGCATCAGCCTCAACTGCCTTCACTGCTTCAGCACACTCCGTCACCGCGTGGGCCTTCCAGGTCACATGCGCACCCATGTAAACCTGCGGTTGTCCACTGTGGACTATATCACATCATCACACTTTCCTCCACTAGCACATGCACCACATATCAACATCACCCATCACCTCACAACGCAAGCACTAGATTAACACCTCTCATTTAAGTAAGAAATGTGCCACTCGGCTCTTTCTCCATGTGGCTCCTCTGCTGCATGTGTGATCTGAGTCTGAGGCTATCACGCGCTTGATGCGCCGCGGCCTGGAAGTTTACCGACCGACGCCTCAACTCAGACCACGCAGTCTGCCCAGTTGCACGTGTGTGTTTGTGTGGAGAGGCGGACGGGTGGGCTGAGAGGCAGGCTGCGACGGCTCTTTCTTTAACGTGACCCCTGGCACTCTCACGCATGTGTGAAATGTGTGTGTGTATATGGGTGGTGCCTCTCAGTCGATGACTGACTGGTTACTCGGCCTTTGAGTCTGATGGCCTAGGCTAAATTCAGGGCTACGTCTCACCCATTTGGGCTTTAAGGGTTGTGTGCGTCTTCTACGTCATGATTCAGCAAATCATGGCCCTCCCAGCCTGGTGTGCGCTGGTAGCTCTCTGACACCCGCTCCTCTGCCGGCAAATGCGCTTGCGCCCCCGTTGGACATACAGGCCGTGTGCATGGTTGTCCAGTGACTTTGGTCATTCTTTTTTTTTCTGACCAATTTTTATTATTGGTTAAAATCCTTGTCAAGTGTTTGTTGTTGAGCAGGGGGTGTGATGACACGCCCAGGCGGGGGTCCGGTCGTACCAGCTACCTGCGCCCTCTCCCAACTTCGGTCTTCTTGATTATGTCTCGGCAATGGACTCGAGCGGGGGAGGAGAGAGCGCGGTAGATGCTGTGCAAGTCTACTATCACTATAAGGTAATTCACGTACAAGTCACCCTCCCTCCTCTCCCCCTGCTGTGGAGCACACGATAGACATCGTCGGCAACGACGGCCGAACTATCGCAACCTGTTCCGTATAAGATGAGCGAAGGCGTCGTGACGAAATAAACAAAGCTTACTATCAATCGATAATAAAGAGAAAGAGGGTTTTGCTGTTCTTTTATGACAGATTCGTCTCCTGTATAGAGAGGTGTATAAATACCGGAGGATGCTGCGCCAGCCGGATCAGAAGAATTTGGGTGTAAACTTTCTACAATCGGGTGAGATTCTGGCATGTCCTTGATCTGAACACGGAAAAGTTCTATTATGCCCCGGACAGTCGCTTTAAGGGCAGATAAACTATAAAAACAAAAGGCGCCACAGTCCAGTAAACGCTGGTTGAAATTTAAAACCTACTCAAATGCGACTGCAATACCGAACAGTCTGTACCCCCGGCTGCTTCAAACACTGTAATATGTTAACTCTCGGAGGGAAAGCATAATGGCTACCTCCGTAAAGGGTATTAGGAAGAAGATTATTGTGTAACCACCGTCTTCTTCCGACTGTTTCCAAATTCAAATCAAATTTTCTGAAATAGCGCAAAAGATTGATTTTCCATCCTTACTGCCTGAGAAATTAAGTCCTCCAGTTGCCTTAAGGCAGAAAATATGCAAGTTGTCAATAATTGTGGTTATTCTAGTGTTGTCGTATTTGCACAATTATTTTAATGCGCGCGGGCTTATATTGTTAGCAAAATGTACATTGTGATCGGACTATACTGCAATATCCCTCGAGCAATGAGAAACGGCTTTAAATTAACATAAGGACCGAAACCTTTTCAGAGAAGGTGCATCTAACGTAACGTAAGGATTAGAGTCACATGTAAAGACGCAAGTAATGTTTCATAACGTGCAAAAAGCTCTATAATATTTAAAAAATATATATATTATTTTTCAAAGTAAAGAGATAAAAAGACCATTTTTCAATAACAAAGAGTCTATAAAGAAAATTTATGTTGATTTTATAGGAAGTATTCCCAAATTTGTGCAAGCCCGGAAAAATGACGAAAGGGCATACGCTGCATGAGTACTGTTTTCGCGCGCAAGTGCGCGAGTGCCTGTGCAGCCAATGTCAGAATATTGCTGTGTTTGAGGAAACATGGGGACGTACTATCGGCTAGTTGGCATTGCGGTCTAATTCAAGTAATATTTTATGCAGGAAGACATGGTCAAATATTCCAGTCAGCGTTTCATAACTTTAGCGCAGTTGAGCGCCAGTTGGGCGCCTTTGCCAGAATCAGTGTCTACGATAGACTTTCTCATTCTTTCTGAGCCTCGCCGAGTGAGAAAGCCTCCAAAATCACGTTTGAGCTGTTTTATCGTTGGGCTGGCAACGAAAAGTCATAATGTTAGGATATTCCTTGTGCGTTCTGTAGAAAAATCTTGGAGGTTGGGATTAATTTACTTATATCGTCTAGGATGGCTTTCCAAATTGAAACACTTCCCAAGGCAAACATCCTTAATTCTCTCACATTCAAATAAAACCTAATTTTAGCCACCGTTCTACTGATGGTCAGAGAAGCCTTTGATGAAATTGTCACAGAGTACATTATCTAAGGAAGTAGTTTTGAACGGCAGGATTATTAAAAACTCCTTAGATTTTATATAGAAAGAAAGGCGGGATAAATTACTCCTACGAAGCGTAGCGGACAGTCAACCTGAACTTGGGTGTTTTTTTAAGGATATAACGAGAAAAATAAAACTTCGACTTTCTGAAATTGCTTTCCAGGTGGAATTTAAGGCACTACGAGTGCCTGTATATTTTTTTTATTCTGACGACTCTTTTTCGGTGAGGTGCGTTTAAGTAAAAGTGTTCTGGAACAGAGTGGCAAATGTCCTCACCAAAGAAAGCTAACTCCGTTGATTTGGGCCTCTGTGGACAGGAAAATGCCACCTTGGAGATTATCCCGAATGTTCCCTCAGTGCCAATGAGACACTGTTTTAAGTCAACGCCTACTAGATCCTTTCGAGTATCGCCAAGGAAGTTCAGCGTTTCGCCACTTGCGGTAACCTGCATAGAAAAACGAATAAAATACCATCAGTCACATTCGAAGTAAGGCAACCTATAATACCTCTGATATCTTATATAAGGTCTCGAAAGCACCACCAGGCTATTTATTGATTTTGATGGACAGCTGTTTAGACTTCTGTTATACCTGCATAATGTTCAAACTAAAAAACACTGAAATCTTTGACTTACCGCTTCGATGCCCGTAACTGCTGATCGAAAATCCGGATACTTAAGGTTTCTCATACCCCTGGCGTTAGTGGCTGCATTTCCTCCAAAACTGCAGATTTCCCAAGAGCCAAGATCGACAGGAGGTGTAAGGTTGTACTGCGGTTCCGAAAGTACCTTTTCCAAATCCGAAGGTATCACACCCGCCTCACATACAACGATCCCTTCATTAGAAAGTACGATCAAGATGAGGAATTTAGATGCCAAACAGCACCGGATCAAAGAATATATGTATAACGTCTAGTTAATTTCTTTCAACAAAAGCAAAACATATGGTGGCTATAAAAGAGAACGTAACGTTCTATATGAAACTGATATATACATATATGCGTGTAAAGTGAATGAAATCAGAACAGTAACTACGGCTGCAAAACTCTACCAAATTCGAATCACTGGTACTCAGCCTTCATAACCACCTTTCCATTATCGCGAAAAGTTGCCTATAATTTCACAGAAACAACTGCT